CTTTTGGCAGCCAAACTTTTGGTCGCCAAAGATAAAAAGTAATTTTTTGTTTTTCATTTGGCAACTAAATAATTTTAGTAGCCAAAACTAACTATACAAACACTGAAACATTTTTTAGTCGCTGAAAAAACACTTTTGGTGACCAAACTTTTGTGTCGCCAAAGATAAAAAGTAAGTTTTTGTTTTTCATTCGACGACTAAATAATTTTAGTAGCCAAAACTAATCATACAGCGACTAAAACATTTTTTAGTCGCCAATTGTGGCATTTTTGGTTACTAAATTTTTTTTTAGTCACCAATAATCAATATATCTTGACTAAAAAAAATTTAGTAGCTAAATATTGTACTTTTGCCGACAAAAAATTTTTTGGTCACCAATTGCACAACTTTTGGCGACTAAATTTTTTTTTGTCACCAAATTTGGTCGCCAAAAGTGCATTTTGTTGTAGTGATAAGTGAAACCTTTACCGATTCATTTTAAGAGAAATAATAGAACTCGGTCCAACAATAAATATACGTGATTTGTTCCTATGAGACGATTTAAGAAATACATGCATCCAATAGTTTTTACAAATAAATTTAGAGTTGTGTTTAGATTTATGGTTTAAAATAAAAAGATTTGAGTAATAATCATGCAAACACATAGTTGAGATGGATTTTAAGATTGAATTTGAAAATTTTTCCTTGATGGATTATGATAATTTAAAATAACAATGTAAAATCATTATTTAAAATCCTTCATGCTATAGTTGTAAAATAATTATTTTCTTGTTATATTCTATCTTTGCCTTTATTTTTTCAGTCTACATAATAATAGAGGGAGCCATGGATGGGCCACCAATCTTTACAAGAATATTGTTAGAATGACGATGAATTATTTAATTTTGGGCATAAGTTAGTTTTTAGAGTAAATAAAACAAAAAAAAAAACAAAAAAAAACTTGAAATATGAAGAGGCAAAATAAAAAGTTAAAGGACAAAATGAAAAATATCAAATATATAATTTACCCATTTATTGATATGCTAACTTTAACTTTTGCTTTTTTTCTTTTCTTTTTTTTTCCTTTCTTTCTTTCTTTCTTTCTTTTTTTTCCACTTTAACTTTAGCTTTTGCTTCTTGTTTTTTTCCTTTTGTAATTTTTTTCTTTTTTTTTTTATTTTCCTTTTTCATTCATGTTTCAAGTTTTTGTTGCTCTGATACCATTCTCAACTTACATCATCAAAAACATACAAACAATTTCACAAAACTGAGTAACATAAATAGAAAAATGTCACAATTTTTCTTATTATAGAAAGTCAAATTCAAATATTGAAATGTCATAATTTAACTATTAATAAATTTAGAGTGCACATAAATTTACTATCCATAACTCTACCACAAGATCGTATGACATACCACAGATATTTATAACTTTTGTCACAAAAAATATAAGATGTGTACCTTTTGGGAGATGCAAGTTGTAGACTTCTCCCATTTTTATCACTATTCTTTTTCTATTAATTTGTTTTTTAAAGAAAAAAAAAAAAGATTCATCACAGACTATCCCATTTTCTTAAGAGAAAATTACATATCAGCGGAAAGTTTACAAAATATTTACATATTGATGAAAAAAATTATAAATTCAATTATAATGTTTATATAATTTTCCATTGATTTAAATTTTGTTTTGAAAAATTACACAGATGTGTAGTTTCTCCTTTTCTTATTCTTATATCCTCTTCTACTTTGATTTTCTCATTTTGCTCCATATCTGCTCCCTAATTTTTCAAGCAAAAATACTTGAGATCACTAATTAGTGGCATCACTAATGATGTGACAATGGGCCCCACTCACTGCCATAGCGTTGTTGTTGTTGTTTTTTTATTAAGTGGATGCCAACTCATTAGTGGTGCTTTAGAGCACCACTTTTAGTGGTATGTAGCATTTTTGTTTTTCAAGTTGGTAAGGCAAATACAAACACCAACTTGACATTGCAATTATTGTGCCAAGCGGAAAATAGCTGTCAAGAACCCATAATTCTTTTTCTTTTTTTTTTTTTGTTACAGGAAAATCCTCCCTATCCTCCCGTAGGTCTAAGGTAGCACCCCTTACAGAGATCACCAGGGTGTCCTGTTAGCCGTTCTGAGCGACGAGACTATAACCTGAAAAATTTCAGTTGTGCTTTTTCACACAGCTTTACATCATCAAACACAGACAAAAACCCCCGATTTTTTCTTCCGAAACAAAGCCTTGAACTTGACATTGCAATTATTGTGCCTATAGCGACCCCGGCTTTTTCCCATTTGATTATTGTATCCGGACTTAGGTTCCGTAGATTCTGTCATTGTATAATTGTTGTTGTCGTCCTTTATTTTCTCATTTGGAGTTATAAGATGTGTTGGGCAGGTTTGTTTCAGGTTGGTTGGGTTTGGAAACCAAGTGTTGCTGTCCAGTTTTTGGGTTGGTCGCTCGAGCGAGCGGTTGCGTCTAGTATAGACCTGAGAGCAGTGTTTCTTCGCTTGATCGAGTTTTTCTTCGATCGAGCGAGCGAGGTGTGGTTCTTCGCTCGAGCGAGAATTTAGTCGCTCGAGCGAGCTTCTGGGTTGTAAACCTGAAGCATCGAGTTTTTGGCTCGAGCGAGTTTTTCTTCGCTCGAGCAAGGGTTTCGTGTGTCTGGTCGCTCAAGCGACCAAGTGTTCGCTCGAGCGAGCCTGTCGGGTTTATATACGCAGCAGCGGTTTTTAAAACGTTTTTTCACATTCTTTTGATCCTAAAAACCCTAGTTCCGAGTTCTCTCTCCCTCTACTCACCTTCTTTCTTAGGTTTCATCACCTTTTAGAGTGTGTTTCTACCCTAGTTGCTTTATTAAAAAGATAGAGTGAGTCGAGAGCTTCGTTTTAATCTGAGAGTTTGTAGTTTTGGAGCACTTTGGTTTTTGGGTCATCATCTCCGTCTTCTCCATTCGGGTTATTTTCTTCGAGGTAGGCATTTCCTACTCCATCCTATAAGTTTTGTTCTAAGTTTTGGTGTTTTGGTATTTTGATATGTTGGGAGTACTTTGGTAATTTTGGGAAAAACCCTAGTTGTATTAATAAATTAATTTGTATAATTAATTTAAGGAAATTGGGAAAATTGGTTAAATGCATGAAATTGAGGAATTCATTGATTAAATGGTGTAGTTGGATAATTAAAATCACTCGCCTATTGAATTGTTGATATATTTATTTCCAGTCTAGAAATAACTGTTTTGGGCTATCGGTGGAGGATAGTCGTGATTGTTGTAGATATTGCATGTGGATTAGGAATAACTGAAACTAATCACATTGGTTAAGTCATTAATTTTGATTATTGCATTGATACAGAAAATACGTGTATTGATTGAGCATTGTATTTGCATACATTGTTTTGTGTGGGAGGAGATAGGGGGTGTACTCCACGGTTTAGGGGAAGATAGGGGATGGACCTCTAAACCGGATTATTGTTTGGGAGGAGATAGGGGATGTACTCCGCGGTTTAGGGGAAGATAGGGGATGGACCTCTAAACCGGATTATTGTTTGGGAGGAGATAGGGGATGTACTCCGCGGTTTAGGGGAAGATAGGGGATGGACCTCTAAACCGGATATTGTTTGGGAGGAGATAGGGGATGTACTCCACGGTTTAGGGGAAGATAGGGGATGGACCTCTAAACCGGATTTTGTTTGGGAGGAGATAGGGGATGGACTCCATTAGCATCACTATTATGTGTGCTTATTATATTGAAGTGTTTTTACATGTTATTGATACAGCACTACAATGTGTATCAAACGGGAAGTATGAAGTGTTTTGATATGAGCCTGAGTCTCATCTGTGTTGTTGACATTGGAAGTAATGTGATATTGGAAGTAATGTGAATATGATATATAGTTCACTGTTGTAAGTTTGGCCAGATTCTGAGCCATATTGATAATAATGGGAATTGAAACATGTCATAGACATTAGTGTTATGGGACTGTGTTAAGTTATAATGGGACTGTGTTAAGTTATAATTGATTATCTTGGTTAACCATCTATTGAATGCTATAGCTTTATTCAATGCTTATATTTGGTTTAGTATTTTTCTACTGGGCTGTGGCTCACCCTTTACGGGAACATCATTTTCAGGTTCAGGTGATAAGTTACCTCCAAGGACTTAGCTTGGGAGGATTTGGCTTTTGGAGTTTGAAGGCTATCTTTAGTTAATTGTTTTTATTTGTTAGTACATGTAAACATTCAAGCCTAGGGCTTTACTTGTATTTGAGTTAGAACTCATATTTTTGTGTCCAAGTGTTGGCTTGGAATGATGTTAGCCCGTAGGGCATTGAATTTGATGTTACATGGAATGCTTTTATTTGGTAATACTCTGATGAATGAATTAATGAATTGTTTTCTTTAAATATTGCATGTCAATGATATTTATATAATGGGTTTATTTTGAGGGCGTGACAGTGCCAAGTGGAAAATAGCTCCCAAGAATTGTTGGAAAATTAAACTTGTGCTTTTTCACTACAGCTTTTATTGGTCTGAACTTACCATCATCAAACACAGACAAAAACCCACATATATATATATAGAGAGAGAGAGAGATAGAGAGAGAGAAATGGAGCTTCAACATTTTAGCCATGAACATCCATTGATCCTCGGTGAAGTGAACGACGATGGTGAGGCAATTGTCTGCAATGTGTGTTGCGAAAAGATCTCTGGTTCTGCATTCAGTTGCAAAATTTTTTTTTTTTTTTTTGGCACAAATTGTGTGCTGAATTTCCAAAGGAGATTAAACTCCCGATCCACGCCCATTCCTTTATGCTCCAACAATCAAAGTCTCCTACAATATGTGCTGTTTGTAACAAAGGATTACGTGGATTGTACTATCTATGTTCGCCTTGCAATTTTAACGTGGGTGCCCCATGTGCTACTAGAGGCCAACATTTTAGCAGTAAACATCAGTTGATGATCCTTAATGAAGAAAAGAAGAAAGATGACGGTGGGAGAGTTTCTTGATGTGTGTTTGCAGCAGATCACAGGTTCAACAGCAGCATACAAATGCACAAATTGCTCTCCCTCTATCTATCTGCACAAATTCTGTGCATAACTACCCGTAGAGATGGAACACCCAATGCACCCTGAGCACCTGCTTACCCTCCTCCAAGTAGTGGCCAATAAATTCAGATGTGATGGCTATGATATAGGTTTGAAAGAATTGATTTATCGTTGTTTGATCTGCAATTTCGACCTTGACATATGTTGTGCTTTGAAAGCACATAAGCTTAAACATGAAAGTCAGAAACACCCATTAAGCCTCATGTCCAGCTCGGCCTCCTTCAAATGTCATGCTTGTGGCACAAAGCGTGAAGGCATGTCTTATATGTGTGACACATGCAGTTTTTGGATCCATAAGGATTGTGCTTCATTAATACCAACCTTCAAACACCACAATCACATTCACGCTCTCACCTCATCTATCCTAGTGAGAAATATCATTCCAAGTTTAGTCGATACGTGTGCAAAATTTGTGAAAATTCAATGGTGGGAGAAAGGTTTTGGTTATATGTTTGTATAGGATGCCATTTTTGCATTCATGTCAATTTCTCAACAAAGACAAAGTATGCTTTCACATTGACCCTGATTTTGACTTTTATTCTCTGTTTTTTTGACAAGAAAAAAGTTTACTGACAATGCTTTTCTCCTCATTTGATGTGTGTTCTATCGTTATTTTGTGGATGGATTTAGAGAAAGAGAAAGTGCAATCAAGGACGAGATTAGTGACGAGGCCAATTTGATTCACTTGCCAATGGTTGATGACTCAATTAGTGCAATTGACCTATTTTTGAAGCAAATCCGCATCGGAGACAATAAGAGAGAAGCATAGCTCAAACATTTTAGTCATGATCATCCATTAACCCTTTTCGATGCGCAAGGAGACAATAATTTGTGCTATGAGAACGAACTACTTGTCTTGAATGAGCTGAATAAGGACAAAAATATGCAATGCATGTGTGCGAAAAATTTTGGCTCCATTTTACAGTTGTGGTCTATGTGATATCTTTTTACACAAATGGTGTGCTAGGCTACCAAATGAAGTGAAGCATCTGTGTCACCCACACCGGCTCATCCTCCTCAAAAAACCCCTTGAACCTAGAGAATTGTTCACTTGCTTCGGCTGCAGATATTTTTGCAATGGATTTGCCTTCAGATGTATGGAGATGAATTGTTCCAATAATTACTCTCTCGATGTTAAGTGTGCTTTCCTACCTAAAGCCATCATTCATAAAGTTCATGAGCATCCCCTCTTCATAAAGGAAGAATGTCTCGTCACAGGTTGTGCTGCATGTGACCGTTGGATTTAGATATTCTCATTTGGATGTGACATTTGCGATTTCAACTTACACTACACATGTGTCGTGCTACCAGATACAATTAAGCATAGGTATGATGAACATCATCCCTTCACCCTAATTTATGCACCCATTAAGGATGGACCCGATGAGTATATCTGTGAATTTTGTGAGGAAGAAATAGACCCAAAGTGGTGGTTCTATCACTACATCCATTGTGATCTGTCTGCTTGTGCCAAATGCATTTGTGCAGAGAGAAAGGAAGTTCAAATATTAAGTAGGGAAGAACCCATAACTTCGATCGTCCCTCACACCATCGAATCTATCCCCTTTACTTTGACAATCCCTCATGCCATCTCATCCATGTTCAATGACAGACGAGAGCTTTTACTGTAAGAAAACGCATTGCAAGTAAAATAGCTTCAAATGTGAGCAGTGCAATATTATGCTCCATCCACATTGTCCTCATCCATAATATGTTAAGCTGTGTTTGCTTTGAGAATTTGATGAGAAAAATGAAAAGAAAAAGGAAACGTAATCTTATTTTTGCTTTGAGAATTTGATGAGAAAAATGAAAAGAAAAAGGAAACGTAATCTTATTTTTTGTTTGATTATAATGGAAAATATAAGAGAAAAAAAGTGAGGGGGAAACGTTATCGCACTTTTTGTATTTGGAGGATAGTTGGCTCTTTTCTTTTTCCATTTCTCAGAATTCAAATCTTATCAATTGTTTCTCCTTATATATATATATATATATATATTTAATTTCTCTCGTCAAACCCTCAAAGTCATAATTGAAAAAAAATTCAATATGATTGTTATTGCTTTTAAATGTTTAAATAAAATTACCTTCAAGTTTGTAGATGCCAGTGGCTAATATTAGATCATTATAGGGAGTGCTAAGTTCAATTCCACTCTCACATTGGTTGGGTCATTAAGAAATACTATGTTTGGTTTTGACTTTAGTTTTCAAAAATAATTTGATTTTTTTTTTCTTGTTTTTTGTAAATTTTTTTAATACTTTGAGTAAATTTTTTATTTTTTAAATGCACATAACATAGATACAAGTATACTAAATAAATACAAAAATATATTAATATTGTTGTATGTTTTAGTATTTAGTGTTCTTTTAAAAGATTTTTTTTTCACTAATGATTTATTTTTCAAGTGTATCTAAATTAAGTGGGTTTAAAAAGTATATAAAAATAAATTGCTGAAAATATTAAAAATGTCCACAAAAAAATAAAAATACACATAAAATGTTTTCAAAATTTAAGCTAAAAATATAATTTCCTAAAAGTTGAGGAGAGACACATGTCCCTCTTGGTCTCTTGGTCTGCTCAACACTTGAAGGCCGCTTACCTAAACATGTCTTCTTTTAAAAAAATTTCTACACTTAGATATGTTTTAAAAACACTTTGGAAACACAAGCATTACAAATTTAAAAAAGTAATTTGAAATCAGTGATAAAAGAAAAACAATATAAAATTTTCATATCACTGCGTCCAAGCTCTTAGCATAATGCCTTAGTTACTTATTTAGGCTAATTTTATCACTGTTTTTTTTTTCAATTTATTGTTGCTAATTAGCTTGATTGATAATTGTTGGCAAGTAGTCATCTATGCAATGAGTATTACTGATAATGAAATGTATAAAAGAGTTTCACAAAGAAACCCAAATATTACAGATATGCATCATTTGTCTCTATTCTACAGCAGGATTTAAACTACACAATTGACCCCAACTTCCCTCTGGAATCAAAACACCACCAAGGTTTGCATTATCAGTGCCTTGAGACATAAATTTAGTTGGGCTTTTTAGGCGTCGAGCTGGGCTAGAACTTGCCACATACTTGCTAGAGAACACTTTGCAGCTCACAAGCGTAATTGTTCATCGTCGCACTCCAAAAATCCTTTGGGATTCAGCAAAAATGGAAGCGCATAGAGCGTGCGAGGCGGCAGCAAAGAAAACTGCCTTCAGAGCAAAATTAGCCGTACTTGAGTACTTCAATTTATTTATTTAGGTCTTAAAAAGATAGTTTTATTTTGTATATGAAACAGATTTTGATAACTTCTCTCCTCTATGGATCAATTGATGTCTATGATCTAGTTCCTATTCATCCTGTTAGTGCTATGTTTATTGTTGATCACTCAAGTTTTTATAATGATATGCTTTTTCCTATCCATGATATGTAATCATTTCCATTACTTATATCATTCACTTCCTTTTGAAAACTTCACACAAAAACTCCTATCGACATAGAAATACAAGTAATATGTGTAAAGTAATAGTCCAAATTTAAAAATATTTAGATGAGCTCTTTGGAAACGTGAAATTAATTAGTTACACCAATCCCATCCATATAACTTAGAAGTCTTTCGAGCACGCACCCTACTTAGGAGTTTGTATCATTTGGTATCAGAGTCAGTGATCATGCCGAGTATAGAATATGACACACCTATGTGAGTATGGGATTAGATGGGTGCAGCATTGCAGTTTGAGCCATGGAAGGGACGACTTATAGGCTACCCAGATTAAGATACCTACCAAGGTGTCAAAACTAGAAAGGAAAGGGCTACCATTGGGTTAAGGGAAAATTATATTGACACCCCTTCTATTTCTCTAAAATCACACCGACACCCCTTTATCACGAAAATCTCATTGTGCACCCTCCCTTTTAAAATATGTATAACAGTTAAGTCCATTTATTAGTAAACCATCAATCACCCAAATAGAAAATGATGACTTCAACAAAAGAAATATTTGAAATGTCGAAATTACCCTCTCATCCCTTGCAGCTTCTCTTCCAATCCCTAACCTTACACCTTACACATCACCACCATTACAAAACCCAACATCAAATCACAGCCACAACCACAGAACTTCATATATATATATATACAAATCACCAACATGACAAAACCCACCATCAAATTAAACAACTACCATATAGAAATTTTGTAGAAGGAAAAAGGGTTTCACACACACACACACACAGAGAGAGAGAGAGAGAGAGAGAGAGAGAGAGAGAGAGAGAGAGAGAGAAGGGTTTCAAACAGAGGTAAAGGATGAGAATGGCAAGAAGGTCATGATTTTTGTCTAAACCTGTCTCACACAAAAGCTCTATGAATATATGAATTTACAGAGCTTCAAACACAGTAGGCTTAAGTGTATATGAATATACAGTAAGCATGCAAACCCAACAACAAAAAACTCCAATCACTACCTTTGTAATTAGCAACAGGCAACCATCCAATTCTATACTACAAAAGGCAAAATCTAATTTCAACAATTAATGAGAGTTTAAACAATTAAAGAGCTTTAAACTAAAACAAATATATGTATGCATATCAAAGCTTTAATAATTAAAGAGAATTTTATTCTACAATATCCAGCTTCAACAGCTACATTTTTATAGACACACAAAATATATGTATATACATCTGTAACAGTTGCAACCTTACTACCCTCCTGTACCCAACCATTCTCCACTTGGTTGCAATCTCAGTCCCCTCACCATTACTACCTTATGATCACTACTGTAACGCCCTCAAAATTAACCCATTATATATCATTGACATGCATTATTTAAAGAAGACATTTTATTAATTCATTCATCAGAGTATTACTAAATAATCGAATAAAATGCCCTACAGGCTTACATCTTTCCAAGCCAACACTTGGATACAAAAATACGAGTTCTAACTCAATACAAGAAAAGCCCTAGGCTTGAGTGTTTACATGTACTAACAAATAAAAGCAAACAACAGAAAAATAGTCTTCAGAATCCAAGTCCTTCCAAGCTAAGTCCTTGGAGGTAGCTTATCCCCTGAACCTGAAAATGATGTTCCCATAAAGAGTGAGCCACAGCCCAGTAGAAATATACTAAACCAAATATAAGCAATGAATAAAGCAATAGCATTCAACAACACTTGGTTTCTAAACCCAACCAACCTGAACAAACCTGCCCAACACATCCTATAATTCCAAATGAGAAAATAAGGAACAACAACAACAACAATTATACAATGACAGAATCTACGGAACAGACCGGATACAATAATCAAATGGGAAAAGACCGGGGTCGCTATAACTACAACCCCAAAATCAATCCCTCCCATACTTAGTGTCTCATCCCCTCCATACATAATTAATCACTACTCCAAATCCTCTCCGAAAAGCAATCCCCCATACATTGCAACAATAATTAAATAGAAAGTAGAGATAAATCTCTACTTTTGATTTTGTTAAATCTCTTGGCACAAATGTAATTAAAATTAAATCAAAAGTAGAGATAAAAACAAAAGTTATAGTCAAACTCCTTTTTTTTTTTGAATCAAAAAACCAATACCATAAAAAGATGAAATGGCAAAACTTAGTTACTAGTTTGCAAAAATAAAATAAAAAACTGCAACTATAATTATCTTATGAATTTATCTTTTATAGCTATAATTCATTCATCAACCTCAAAGTGCTCACACCACACCTGTAAATCAATAATCACAAAATGGAAAGCAATTCTAATCGTGGGAACCATTATAAAAATAAATAAATAAAAATAAAGAAAAAGAAAAGAGAAGCGAAATGCAATGCCTTTACATGTAGAGATGTAAGATGAAGAAGGATGATGTTATGAACCGAAATTACTTTGATCAGTTCAAACACTTCCAAGAATTTGTTCATTGTGAATTAAACTACTCCATCTAAATTAAACTATAAACCTCCCCCAAACTATGAACTTTTCAATCAATGAATTTTCAACCCACTTCTTGTAATGATATTTGGAGGATTCAATATAAAGCATCATACCGAACCAAAACAAAATCGCCTGTGAGGGAGGAGGAATGCAAGGAAGTTGTTGTGAGTGTGTGTGTGTGTGTGTGTGTGTGTGAGAGAGAGAGAGAGAGAGAGAGAGACATGAGAAACGTAGGAGGGATTAGAGAAAAATTTTGAGAGGTTCCAAAATTTGAGTAGGAATTTCAAATTAAGGTAAAATTTGGTGAAAATATTTTTTATACTCAGTTTGAGAAAAAAGAATACAAAATTTAGATACATTTAAAAGTATAAATTTTAAAAATACAAAAAAAATCAATTATTTTTATATTTTTTGTATTTATAGATTTTTTTATAAATATTTTAATTTTTAATTATATTTAGATTAACTGAATTTAAAAAT